AGCTGCTGCTGCTGCTGCCGCTGCTGCTGCTGCTGCTGCCGCTGCTGCTCACTGATCATCACACGCTGCAGCACATTGCAGCTATCAGCAGCTGGTGGCTCTGCAAGCACTGAGCGCGAAATTGGAGGCTGCCACAGCTGCTGCTGTTGCTGCTGCTGCTGCTGCTGCTGTTGCTGCTGCTGCAGACGGGGCCATGCTATAGGGCTGCGCAGAGACTCGTGCTGCTGCTGCTGCTGCTGCTGTCGCTGCTGTTGCTGGTGCGGTGTTGCACTTGCGTGTACTTGGTGCAGCTGCTGCAGCAGTTGCTGCTGCTGGATTTGCTGCTCAGCAGGCAGAGGTGAAGCAGCTGCTGCTCTTGGCAGCGACCACGGCTCTTGCTGGCGCTGCTGCTGCTGTTGCTGCTGCTGCTGCTGCTGTTGCTGCTGCTGCAGCGGGCTATGCATCGGCCCTACACTCCGTTGCAGCTGCTGCTCCCTCTTCGTCTGCAGCTGCTGGGCTGGCGTGGTTGCTGCTGCTGCCTGCTGCAGCAACGCGGGGCTACGCTGCTGCAGCGCCGGGGTGGCCCCGCCCAGTGCTGTGCGCACTCTGCCTTCACCTGACCCGTTGTTGTTCTTATATTGCTGCTGCTGCTGCTGCTGCGGTTGCAGCTGCTGCTGCAGCGGCGGTTGCAGTTGCTGCTGCTGCTGCTGCAGCTGCTGCTGCTGCTGCTGCGGTTGCGGTTGCTGCTGCTGCTGCTGCTGCCGCTGCGGTTGCTGCTGCTGTAGCTGCTGCTGCTGCTGCTGCTGCTGCAGTTGCTGCTGCTGCTGCTGCTGCTCCTTCTGCTGCTGCTGCTGCTGCGGTTGCGGTTGCTGCTGCTGCTGCTGCCGCTGCGGTTGCTGCTGCTGCTGCTGCTGCGGTTGCTGCTGCTGCTGCTGCTGCGGCTGCTGCTGCTGCTGCTGTTGCTGCTGTTGCTGCTGCTGCTGCTGCTGCTGCGGTTGCAGTTGCTGCTGCTGCTGCCGCTGCTGCTCCTTCTCCTGCTGCTGCTGCTGCTGCGGTTGCAGTTGCTGCTGCTGCTGCTGCTGCTCCTTCTCCTGCTGCTGCTGCTGCTGCGGTTGCGGTTGCTGCTGCGGCTGCTGCGGCAGTTGCTGCTGCTGCAGTTGCTCCTGCTTCTGCTGTTGCTGCTTTTGCGGTTGCAGCTGCTGCTGCTGCGGTTGCAACGGCTGCTGCTGCTGCTGCTGCTGCTGCTGCTGCTGCTGCTGCTGGCTACAAGCGGACAAACGATCCTCCGCAAGCAGCTCCTCGCCCTTCAGTTGTCTCGGTGCAGGGAGTGGACGCTCCTGGCTGTTTGCTGCTGTCTCCTCAGCCTGCTGCTCTTGGTCTAGGTTTGGGGGCTGCAGCGAGTGCAGATGCTGCTGCTGCTGCAGCAGCCGCCGTGCATGCGAGAGCTGCGGGGCCTCCTCTGTGTCTTCCTGGGGGGGCATCGTAATGTATTGCTGCTGCGAAAGCGGGGTGCTTTGCTGCTGCTCCTTTGGGGGGGAACTGGCATCTTGCTGCGCATGCAGCTGAGGCTGCTGCTGTGCTGCTGCTGCTGCTGCTGCTGCTGCTGCTGCTGCTGTGTAGGGAGGCGATAGAAGAGGCAGCATCAGGGGCAGCTGCTGCTGCGGTCCTGGTGCTGCGGCTGTGTAAATATTGTGCCTTTGCATGCCGATGTTCTGCTCTCCCTGTTGTAGTGTCTGCTGCAGTTGCTGCTGCTGCACTTGCTGCTGCTGCACTTGCTGCTGCTGCTGCTGCTGCTGCTGCTGTTTGAAATTGTTTTGCTGCTGCGACAAAAACTCGCGCTGCAGCGCCGCTTGTTCGTGGGTATGCAGTATTGTGCCTTGCTGTTGGTTGTGATTGGTTGCTGCAGCCACATCTTTCTGCTGCTGCGGCTGCTGCTGCTGCTGCTGCAGCAGCAGCAGCCGCAGCTGCTCCTGCAGCTGCCGCTCTCTTAACCCTTGAATCCCCTTCTCTGGTCTGCGGTGTTCGCTGCCTGCATGCAGCAGCCTGTCCT